CCCCCCCCCCCAACAAGCAGAATAGTCAAATAATACATGAAAGTAGTTCACTGTTCTTGGGAGTTTTTTCGCCTCTTTGCCCTGTGGTGGTGGTAGCGCCGTCGCGCGGAACAGCCTGTGCCGCACTTTTCTTTCCCCTCCCTCTGACATGCTTTGTCTCTTCCACTGTAAGAAGGGAGAGTAGCCAGGTCGCGGCTTTTTTTTCTCCTCCCTCTCCGCCCCCTTGCCTGCGCGAGCGACCGCGCGCCGGCCTTTCCCCTCCCCTCAAGCTTTCCACGATTAGTCCTCCCGACTCCGGTGCAGCCATGTATCCCTGCTTTGAAAGCTGCCCAGCACGGATCGGGGTCCCCGGGCCCTGCTCCAGCCGAGGCCACCACCCTCTCGGAGCATGAGACGCACCGACGGCGGATCCGGGAAATGCGAGAGGGCCTATTGGAAAAGCTGCCTCCTGCTTAATTGGTTTTCACTTAACTCACACAGGGGCGAGATGCCGTCGATGTCCCTTGCCAGCGGACCTGCCTCGCTCATTTAGCCCTCCTTCTGCGTCGAATGGTCATCGACTCCCGCCACCCTCCGCAGGGGAGACGCAGAGGGTGAGAAAGAGCAGCATCCTGCTCCATGGCTCGGGCTTGCTGAGACACAGCATTCCCCCCCCCCCCCCCCTCCTCCCATCCCTCTCCTCTCTTCCCCCTGTGTCCCCTCTCATCGTTTTGCCCAACCTGCCCCGTCTACCGGTGTTTCACCATGCGACCGATCTGGTTGACAGATGCCTTGGCCCCAGCAACTTCGGCCCTGCCTCCGGGTCTTGAGGCTGAGGTACTCCTTTCGAGCATGGTCGCCAATAGCCGGCCAGCCTCCCCCCAACTTGGCCCTGTGCCCGTGTCCATCACTAACAGCCATGGCATGTGTTTGCCTACACTGACAGGACTTCTGTGATTACATCTGGGATAGTGCCCAATCGGCGGTGGCAGCCGCATCCCCAGGAGCCGATCTCGCTGCCTGTGCCCGTGAAGCCATTGTTCAGGCCATGGAAACGCTAAGCCTCGATTTGGTGCGCCCCCCTCCGCCCTCCTCTCTCCTCCTTACTCGGCATATGGCTGATCTACACACGCGCACACAACCCACAAACACAATCCCCACCACGGGCATCAGAGCGTTCCTCCTTGCGCGCCGCCAATCGACGCATGAAAATAACACCCACGCCTTCTCCCCGCAGGCCTTGGCCGAGACCGTGAGCCATGACATTGTTTCCCGGCACTTTGGACCGCCAGAGAAGAGCCACCCCACGAACCGACCCCCCAGCCGACCACTTGCCACCGGGCCTGTGGAGGACTTTGTAGTTGTTCATCAAAAGAACCCGAGGCAGCAGAAGACCTCCCGGCATCACAAGGGCATCTCGACTGCTGCCAATGGGGCCGTCGACTCTCCGCCCTCCAGCCGGCGGACCAACAAGCGTCAACAGCGCTTCGAGGTATTCGACGTGGGAAATACCCAGAGCACGCATGGTGCCATCTCCCTGGAACAGGCATCCCACTCGACCGATAGTATGTCCGCCTCGGGCACCCTGCTCTTTTCCCCGTTCCCCCTGGGACTTCGCCGACTCCTGACACCCATCTCCCAACCATGTCGCCACCTGGGCATGCGCCATCAAGGCATCTGTCGCTTCTACATGTCCCCCACAGGCTGCGCGCGCGGGCATCATTGCTTTTATCTGCACCTGCAACCAAACACCGAGAGCGTGAAGCTGGCCCTCAATATGCCGGCCGTGCCGCTGTCGAACTTCATGGATCCCGAAAGCAAGGAGATCTCATATGACTGGCTGCTAAACCTGTCAGACGATGAGTATGGTGAATTCGACGCCGGTGTTTTTGGTGGATACTTCGACCCGGACGATGAGCACGCCCCCACTGGCCACCTACATGCTGATGATGATGATGATTATGATGATGATGATGATGATTACCCTGATGATCTTGATGACTTCGACCTAGAGGGCGGTCTTCATGATGACAGGCAGGACGAACAGCGCAGCCACATTGGAAGTCACCCAACAGGCACGGCGGGGGTGGACGATGGCGAGCTGCTGGCGGCCGGTGCCGCAAAGCTGACCATCCAACCGGAGCAGCTCCAGTGTCGGGAGTCATTTCCTCCTCTGGCGGCTGGTGGGGCCTCGTCTGGGGCGGAGCAAGATCCGATTGATGCGCAATCCTTTGCCGCACTGATCCAACGGATTTTCGATCAGCGAACTCTGCTCCGGAACTCGGCGCAACCGATGGAACCCGCCACCGGCCGATCGGCATATTCCTCGATCGCGGCCGACTCTCGCCACGCCCAAGCTCGCCGTGTGGCCGCAGGCTCCAGGGAGAATATGACCTCGGCCGCCGGTCAGGCCCGAGTCCCGGGCACCATCTCTGGTGGCGGCGCCCGGCGCACACGGCTCTCGGCCGATGAGCTGGTTTCGCTTATTCGTCTGCGTCGGCATGAAGATCGCATCCCTCCCCCACCGGAGGAGACTCTCCGGTGGCGCGTCACCGGAAAGCCTCTGGAGGAGCAGTACAACAAGGAACGTCGAAAGGCCTTCGACCTGTTCCAAGCCTACCGTCGTCAGTCGGCCTCCAGCTCGCCAGCCCATCGGAAGGCTGCCCAGGACCTGTTTTATGAGGCGGTACGACAGGGGCTATCCCGAAATGGGGCTGAGATTTTCGCGCAGGGAGGGCGGAAGAGGGGCCATCGCGAGCGCACCATCTCATGTGGCATCCCATCACCCGATGCCCGGGCATTATGATCCATTGACACCTGGGTGTCTGCCTGCTTCCTCTGTCTCTCCCTCTCTCTCTCTCGCCTCAGTCTGTGGCCCACTGGAATGCGGCAGCCTCGTTGTTCGAGCAGCGCAACAGGGACCTGATGAACACCGAAATCCGGGTCGGCAGCTCGCCGGTGGTGGATCTGCATGGGCTCCACACAAACGAGGGTACGAGGCTTGAGCATCATCATTTCCGAGGAGGAGGGGCGGGGGGGGGGGGGGTCGCGTCCTTTTTTTTCCAACCATCCCATCACCCTGGATCGTGCTGTCTGTTGTGTCTAACATCCTCTGGCGGGGGTGCGGGGACATTGGCTGGTCGGCACTTTTGGACACTTCCCCCCTCAGTCATTTTCTATCTGGACACCCTCATTGGACGCCTGCAACGGCTGGCCAACCGCTCGGGTAAGCCGCACTATATGCACGTCATCACCGGGACCGGGAACCATTCGCGCAATGCGGTGGAGGAGGCCCATCGGCGCATGGGCAAGGTCCAGTTGGCCACGATGGAGTACCTCCACCAGAGAGGCCGCTATTTCAAGGATAACAGTGTCGACCAGCGGATCGGCCTGCTTTCGATCGAGGTTGAGCCGCGCGGGAAAGGCGAGGCCAAATCCCTGTGAGACCCCCCCCCCAGCCCGCCGAGGGCATCCTGTGAATAAAATCACGCCATATTTCACGGGACCACCGCGGGACACATCACGGACCATGATGTTCCACCGGACAGCAACTCCCAGCTGAAGGCGTCGATCGCTTAGTCACCCTTGAGCATGGGTGGATATAAATGATTATATAAAAAGGGGATTTCTTCTTACTATCTGGCGTGTGGGTAGCTCTCGGAGGGGCGGCGGGAAACACACAAGCAGGTGTTGTTGACAAGCCCGGCGCCCGCACGTCAATGCCGCTTGTCTGGGGGCAACCACGTCCAGGGGGGGAGGGGGCGGGGCGAGCCCCGGTGAGGAAGCTTGCAAGGGGGGGGGGGGGGGGGGGGGGGGGGGGGGGGAAAAATGCGGGCGGGGTCCGCACCCCCAAGCACCTCACGCCCAGCCCTCATTTAGGGTTACATCTTGGGCCCACGCACGAGACCTGCCCCGCACCCGGAAAGGAGCATCCCACACGGCCTTCCCCCTCCTTGCCGATATACTTGGCTCAGCGGGGGGGGGGGGGGGGGAGCGGGCGTGACGCAAGAAAACCACCCGAGGGGAGTGCCCAGTCTGGTGGCCCCTGGGGCCTGTTCGGTGGGGCACGAACATCCGTCCGGCTGGAAAGTGGGAAGGGCGGGGGGGATGGAGGGGCAAGGCTGGGCGCAGCGGTCGAGACAGCATGGAGGCTGGTGGTGTGTGTGTGTGTGTGTGTGTGTGCGTGTCGACGCAGGTCCATGGACATGGCTGCCGCGAGGAAGCCGAGGAGGGCAGAGGAGTGAGATTGCCAGCCACAGGACAGATGATATTGGTGTCCGCGTCTGGCAGGAAGCAGCAGGAGCCGGGCAAGGGGGGCGGGGGCAAGTGTGCTTTTCTGTGTGCTTCTCTCCCGGCGTGTGTCGCCCTCGCGCGCTGTGGCGTAGGTGTTCCGGGCTGAGTCCTCCGACCGACGGAGCGAGGAGATGCTCCTGGATCCTTCACCCGCGAGGGTTGGCAGTTTTGTGTCTATTTCGGTTGCGCTCCGCCCGAAGCACCTTTAGGTCTTGGGGCATTGTGTAAGTGCTTGCTGGGCGGCAGGCAGGGCTCGGCGGGGTCCGCGAGCCCCGGGGCAGCGATGTCGCCGTGCTTCCCCTTTTGCGTTCGGCAGTCGCAGGTCTTCTCATCCTCCCCTCCCCGCAATATCAGGACCGGGGGCCAAGGTTGTGTAGGCTGGGGAGCGAAGGGTAACTGTGTGGGGGTGGGTGTTTCGCGTACGTCC